GGGGACAGAAGAGTGTATCAAAGACGAAGTTAGATAAGGTGGGATGATTACTGTGAAAGTAGTCGAATATGACATACAGTGGGGTCATGGTAGTTTGAAGTCAACTGCCAGGTAATAGACTTTTTTGCCGTATGAGTATACGTTGCCCCGGAGTGCACCACGTGGAGGTAAGTCTATCACACACCCCTAGATTGACAGAATTATTGACGTGAAACTTACTTATTAAATCAACAAGATTTCTCTGGTAGCCATGATCTATGCCAAATCGAGCCTTCTAAAAAGATGCCTCAGTGATGTATTTCTTTTTACTTGAATTCAACATACGTTTGCGAAACCAATTCATTTTGAGCTTCAACCTATTCGCAGTTTAGCAAATTTCAAGTCACGATTATCTATATAAATCGTCAATAAAATGATTATCAGATTGGGCTTACAAAATTGGAGTCGACCTTAACCTGATGCGATTTTCAGAATTTTATCGCTCCACCCCCATCCCCTATATTCGTTTTGCATGCTTGATGACTCATCATCGTGATTATAGGTGCAAGTAATTTGAAATTCGATAAATATTTTTACAGCCCCCAAAAGGAAGTCTTTTCAGCTGCGATTGCAAACGTGCTTTAGTTACACTGCCATCTGCACGCAAAACATCAATAAATCGATACAATTAACGAGCTAATTATTTACATTATTTGCGAGACCAAAATTTTTTTTATTTCAACTCTTTAACACGACTTAATAGCCATTCACATATATTTAATTTAACCCAAAGAATTAGTAAATAGCTGTATTAATTTATAAATAATTATCCGCCATTTAATTGAGTTATTTGGGTAACAATAAAGTAGACACTTGTCCTGATGAAACCATGTTCATTGTAGAATAATATATATACATATATATATATATATATACTCATACGGAAAAAGTCCATAAACCAACAGTTGACTTCTGACTTCAAACCAACGTCACCCCACAGTATATCATATTCAACCATTCACAGTACACACCTTACATTTTCTCCAACTTTATATCTGCTGGTCTCTCCATTTTTTGAGACTTTGATACTACTCTCCTCTGTAAAGCCCGAAGGCAGCTAAAGAGCTAATGATAGCTATTAAAATGCCTGCCATTTGAAAAAAATATATATATTAGTTTCTTTTCAAACATTTATACAATGCCATATTTAATGAATCAACATAGTAAATGATCAAAAGTAGTTAAATCAATGAATTTTTCAGTTGGTGCACGTTTATGTGAAATTAGTAAACAGGAACAAAATGATCTTTTTGATAGAAGGCTGACATAAGATATATTGGCTCGCTTGCTATAAGACAGACATGTTACATAGATAGTTATCAAAGTAGCTGGATTTTGAATACTGCAATAGAAATTCAAAAGCTATAGTAAACAAGAAACTATTTGCTTACATATTGCCAATTATCTTAAAGGCCAACTAGCTGCAGACACTTACAGCTTGCTCCTCACAGATTCCTCTCTTGCAGATTTTGTCCCAAAATTGTAGAGAATAAAAAAGTATAAATATTTTAGTGGGAACACGGACCAATTGTCGTTGAATAAAATTAACAATACACTATGTTGCACGAACATAGTGTTACTGATTAGCTGGAGGCCTCTACACTCCTAACACACCTGTCCTCTGTACGACCACGCATTGCAGAATATTCTGAAGCACAAGAAATTGCTCTCGACAGCTTTATTTGAGTTGTACAATTTACAGTGATACGCTTCTGGAGCGTTTAAGTACTATAAACATGAAGATTCTTGCCGATGATTGTGTGGCGTATATATTCGGGCATGTGAGAAGGGATGATGACCCTCCCACAATCCCATCGAAGAGAAACGATGCGCTGAGATACTCAAGAATGTAGAAAAGCAGGGTTAGCAGTATCTTCAACGGAGGTAAACTAGATTGGTCTAAAATATTTTGCATATGTAAGATTTCAGGGGTGAGAAATTGAACACTCGGTATAACATAAGTCTAATAAAGGGGAAAGTGAAATTTTATAGTAATGGCCAAGGCGTTGGACGCGATTTATCCGATTTTACCTAATCGAAGTTCTCTGATTAGTAATATCTTTGAAATCATGTATTGTTTTAACTAATTACAGATAACCACAAATTAAAACAAGTCAAGGTAGGAAACCAACATCAAAATTCAGATAAAGTATTTGAAAAGCCTCTCATATCATGCTTCTCTTCTCGTACGAACTTGCAACTCTCTATTCTTACTCTCCATTCCATTATCAAAGAGACGGACTTTTTTTATTAGGTTATGCGGAATCTCGTAAGTGGTAAATCTATTTTTTTAATTTTAATGTCTGTCGATGAAGCCAAATAATAGCAAAAGGTTTATTCATATTTGCAGAGAAACTCAGTCAAGCTCTGTAATATTTTTAAGAAATCACAAATTATTTGTAATTAAGTGTTTTTAAAAAATATAGCTATTTCCCCTACTTATGCATCTGTCTGCCTCAATTGAATGCATGAAAACAAAAACTTAAAAGCAACATTTTACTCAATTTTAGAAATAATATTCATTCATTGCTTCATATCTAATGGATAAAATGAACGTTATTGAAACAATTTAAGTGTTAATTTCTTTGTCAAACATGCTTTTGAAACGATTAGGTGATATAGCTTACTGAGTCGACCGAATTTCCTGGAAAACTATTCAAATTAATCTCATTATGAATGTAACTTACAAAAATCCAGAATTGATTTGTTATTATAACAGCAAAGTATAATGGCAACGAGAACCGAGGCGGTGAACTGACCTTAACAAATTCAGTCAATTAAATTCAATATTAAGTTTTACGAATGACATTGAAAATAACCGCGTCTCCTCTTCTTTAAACTAATTAGTGTTAGTTTCAAGCCATTAACCATTTTGAAATTGATTTCTTCGTTCGACATTGAATTCATATAATATTTCAATTTAATTTAGTTGAGGTCTATAAATAATTCCGGGATGATAATGAACACGGTGACCTCCAAGAAATCAACAAACTTTTAAATGATCAGTGAAGAAGTTTTTCGCTAGTGATTTCGATTCCTGTTTTAAGCGATTGAATTTAATGATTTGAATGGTAAGTATTTATGAACAGTGTTCTCATTTAAACAAGAATTGCATTTTAGTTGCCCAAAAATTCAATCAGCCAAACGTGCCGAGCACTGGTAAGCTTCTTTTGGATAACAAAGGCCTAACACTTGGCGAAATTTGGATGATCAGCCAATATTTCGAAATTTTATTGATTTTGTAATAAACTGATTTATTCTTTTTGAGGACATTCCACATACCGAGCGATTTACTATTTTTCACATTGAATTTGAGAAATGGTGACTGTTCGTATACAAGCCAAAGACGGTAATATTGTGAGGATTGAAACGAATCTCTTGAACTTGATTCCCACTCTTCACAGAAAAATTAGCGGTAACTAAACCATTTTCTAATCTTAATCTATTTTACTAAAAAATTCTTTGGAAGAATCAATTTCATTGCATATTACTTTAGACGGAGTTCACTTAGATAGATACTTAAGTGTACTTACTTGGCAATTTTTTGCCCTGTTGCGGGCTCAGAGACCACATTACAGTGCACCAATTGAGTGGAATGGACGGCAGTTTCGATTAAGTCGGAATGAAAATGCTATCGAGTTTGACGTTTGTCCCAAAACAGTACAAGACAGAATTTGCAGAAAATGATTCGAGGAGCTCATGACACGATTTAACAATTTTAAGTGGGTTTGGGGGCTTGTCAGTTGATATTCATATTCTTTAGAGAAGACAATCTACTTTGAGCTTTTAATATGAGTAGCTGAGAGACACAATAATAACTAAAAACTTATAAATTTGGAAAATTTTTAGAAAATACTTCCAGCACAAATTTATTAATATTTAATAAACTTTAATAAAGACTTTTAGGTACGCATGCTTTTATCGAATTGCCTCACTAATCGATTAGCTATTTTAATATTTTTTAAATATCGCGCTTCCAACGGTATTTTTTTCAATTAGGCGAATCTGATGAACAGGATGGTAAACTTTATGTGGAAATAAACTCAGAAGTCCTTCAAGAAATCATTGCGTGGTGTGAATACCACAATAGATGCCCAACTGAGAAGGACAACAAGAGAGAAGGCAATAGGTCTTCATGGGAACTCTGTGAATGGGACAGAGGATTTTTCTTGGAAAATCGTCAAAAATTTGACGAACTTGTGGATGCGGCTATCGTGCTCGATATGGAACATCTTTGTGATGCTTGCTCAATCTACGTCACAGAGAGATTTAGAGAATTCACTGAGTATGGACAATTACTGGGATACCAACACAGTTTTTAATTATAAATATTTTGTAAAATTTTACAGGTCATGTACATGCGTACTAATAAATGGTTTAGGACAAGCTTACCGGATATTCCTAAAAATGATGATGTAGAGGACTGAAGGGAGGAATTTAAGTTAATTGAATTACATTGCCTTCGAGGCAGACAATTTGGTTTTAAGTAATATCGGTCAAAATTATAATAAGAAATTATATTTATGCACAAAATGAACAACAAAATCCTTTCATTTTTTTTCTTCCTTTGTGGTCCCTTATGTGTTTCATTCCGTTCTCGATTTTATTATGTTTTCAATAAAGGCTTGTGCGATAGACTTACCTCCACGTTGTGCATCCTGGGTAAAGTCTATTAACTGGCAGTTGACTTCTCATTTCAAACTACCATCACCCCACTGTATGTCATATTCAACCACTTCCACAGTACTCACCTCACCTTTGTGTCTGTCTGTCCCTTACATCAGTGAATCATTATTCTGCTCCCTCTTGCGACCTTAGGTTACTTTGATGCGAAGCCCGAGGTCATTTAATGGGCTAATGATAACTATCAAAACACCTGCCATTTGAAATGAATGATGATGTCTTCAATAAATGGAATGGTATTTTGTCAAAACCGTTTCATTGTTTTTTTAGTTGGAAAGCTTATGAATTTCAGCAAATAATTCTGTTAAGACCTCTTTCCATTTACATAATAATAATTATTTTACTTTAAATATTTAAGTAACAACAAAGGTATTCATGATGCAGCCGTCGCTAAATTTATTATCGTCCAGCTACAATTCCAATTTCTGTTGAAAATGTATTTTTTATGGCATTTATAGCATTTATGTGATTATGTCCAATATTTTAAAACTCATTTCTTCATGATAGTGCACCAAATGGAATCTTCGATACTGTTTAAACACTTCTTAACGCTCCTTATTTTAACAGTTAAATGTCGAATAATTCAGGTAGTTTTTATATACTAGACAGGTATTTTTTCTCATCAATGAAAATGTGCAAGATCCACTAGTTTCTCTGAATCGCTTCGCTTTTTAAAGCATTATCTACTATTCTAAATGAATTATATTTGTAGTGCCGAAGAAAGGGGTTAATGTGGACGAGATGACAGACTGCAGTATTAGTTTAACGGGTCACGGAACTATAAATATTGCGATTGTAATCCCGCCCGTGAAATTAAGGGCAAAATTTGGTGATTGAAAATTAGCACATCATAACCCGGGGCCTTTCAATAATGAAATCTTGATAAGCTTGACATTTTCAGTCAAATAAAGCAAGAATCGTGATTCTTCATTTGACTTACTTTCCATTAACACTTCTCTGCCTTACATCCCATCAGACTCGTCAATTTCCCTAATTGCTTTCATTCAAACCCACAATTAATGCCTGTGCATGAGTGAAAGAGCATGTAAATAAAGGAATGAAGTAAACTCATGAAAGAAGCTTCAATTTAATTCGTTTCCTGGTCGTACGACTTGCTCGCTTCCTGACGTCTCAAGCACTAAATTATGAGACTCAATATTCCAGGTTCCGAAGGAATTCATATCCATAACGTGCAGAGCTATTGAGTGCGAATTGAGAATTAGGCACTGACTTAAAGGTTGTCTAAGCAGAATATTGCAAATGAAAACACACTGAATTTCGAAGCACATAACTCAGTATGTCACGACAAGTTTTCGTGTGACTTCCTCAACCATATTGTGAATGCTCATTTTTAACTCCTCAGTTGCATAAGAATTATTATAGGACACTTTACTCTTAAGTTACTTTTAAAATAAAAACAGCATGAAGGGGGATATGTCGATCTGGGATGCCATAAACTTGCAGGAGCTCTACAGGCTTCCTTAAGAGTTTCGAAGACGTATGTCATTTAGCACCATGAGAAATGCATCGCAGCACCATTTTCTGAAAAAAACCTTTTTTTTCTCCCCCAAATTAGCTATCAATGGCTTTGGCAGTTACTTTGCATACTCCCCATGATTACTGTGTCATAGAAATATGAACCTTACAATCCTTTGGGCTGAAGCGGCACACACCCAAAGCCAACTCTGATGCACATCGCAGTACTTCCTGGGATTGTCAGCTAACTAATTGTGAGTGTTCTGGGAGTTCATGTAACCCCTAAAAGTGAAAGCGTGCAATGTCTGCAAATCAATCGAGATTTGACTTCAAATGTAGTCAGCAGCGACATGAGTGAGTAACCAGTCGCAGTAACATTTCCGTAGGTTGGAATGCTTGTATCAGGTTAACTTCGTACCCTCGCACAGCTACCTGCTTCAACATGCTCTCGCACGACGCTTGTTCGATGCTAAATTGGACGAATAGACTAATCAGAAGTCCTGAATACTCTACATAATTTCCGGTGAAAGGTGTGCGATAGACTTACCCCTACGTGGTGCACTCTGGACAACATATACTCATACGGCAAAAGTTTCTTAACTGGACGTTGACTTCTGACTTCAAACTACCATCATCCCACTATATATCGTATTCGACTACTTCCACAGTACTCATCTCCCTTTTTTTCTATCTTTGTATCTGTCTCTTTTACAGCTTTGAAACACGCTTCTCGACTTTCTTTCCCTTTGATGTTCCTTCCCCTTTATGAAGACTGAAATCAACTCAAGGGCTAATGATAACTAAAAAAACGTTGCCACTATTATAAATATACTTTCGGCAAAGTTTAGATGCAAAAGTTTAAAGTTCATACAACGTCGGTAGAAATACTGTAACATTTTCTTGCTAACGATATGCTGAGCTCAACTATAATTAGCTTCATTACTCCTTTAGCTAATTTCAGAAGGCAGAATGGTGCTTTATGTTATTAAGCAGCATTCAATACCCTAACACGACAATGGTAAGGTGGTTTCGGATTTTGACTTAGTAGAGTTCAGTAAGCATTGTACTTTTAAGATGGGGTACAAAGATTGATAGACTCAAGTCAATGAGTCGGTAGGTGTGAAATTAAGGGATGCAATTTAAGCCAACTTTTCATAAATCCACTTTCTCGCGTTCTTCATGAAACTTTCCACTTGCCAATGGCTTTAATTATGGCATTACCGAGGAATTTAAAGTGAAATATTAAATGATATCTAATGAACTATGCATTTCATAGAACCACTTAAGCAAATCCAGTAGTCGATTTCAATTGATAGATGAAAGCTTTTTGGCATTACATAAATAAATTCTCTTACTTTAAAAATTTTGAGAAAGAAAAGCCCTCCGAAATTCGCTCATGGAAAATTTTTCACCTTGTATTCAGCCATATCACTGACGAATGAATAAAAATGTATGGCAAATATTTTAGACCATTAAAATTAAGGTTAGCTTAAAATATCCTAGCATTTTAAGACGAAAAACAGACGACCGTACAGCCAATCATCATTTTTTTGATATTCCAGAAGCCCGCTTGAACTTAGTTGTTTCACATTCATGATTGATCATCGAGATGAAAAGAAACTATTTCCATGATTATAAACTTCCCGAGTAGAGAAATACATGATATAAAGTAAAATGTATAAAACGTAATCTTAAATTTATAGAACTGACTGAAATTAGTGTGGCTATAGAATATATAGTAAATGCATAATATTCATCACTCAGGAAATATTTTAATCTATTTTTAGAGTGGAAATTTTAATCGATCAACGTTTTGGTCAAATCATGTCAGCAACGCTTCAATCAAATTGCTTGGCCAACTAGATTTAACAAAAGCCTAATAAAAGGTGAATTTGAATGCGTTTTTAAACTTAGGTATAAATATTTCAGTTCACTTAGTTAGTAAAGTGCAGGCTCGAAAAAAGAAGACTGAATTTGATGTTCTTTTGCATAACTACGAGTGAAAGTGACCTTTGTTAATCGGTCATTGTGTTATAAAGCGTTTTTACTACCATAGGTACGCACAAATGACACACTTAAGTAGAATTCCGATAACTACCTTCACTCGGAGATCAAACCATTGAAACTATATTCACAACTTTGCATACTTTACTTCAATCAAGCTCTATTAAGCTAAATATTGGAGAGAAAGTTCAATAAATATATGTGTATATCATATAAATTTGTAAGAAATGTCAATCAAATACCTCCCATGTTGAAAAAACGAGTATGAAAAAAGTAACCTTGCAAAAATGGTTAAAAAAGATGGCTTTATTCCTATCTACATAATACATATTGAACTATTGGTAGTTGTAATATTACAGTAAATATAAATTGAAAGACGAACTACGTTCCATGTCCCTAGATATTAAATCTAGTTAATGTTCAAAGTTATGGTTCTCGAATATTTACCAAGGGCAAATCTACGTTTTGTATCGCATAGCGCGAGCGTTCCGAGACCAGACTGAGTTTGTGTTGACAAGTGGTTCGCTCAGATTCGTAGTAAACGGTCGAACTTTGTGGAACGGTAATCATGGATGTTCGATATTGGGTGAGCTAAGAAAACTCGGAGTTGATAAACTTCACAATAGAGAAGTTTCAAAGCTAATTTTAAGGAAATAAGTTACAACTCACAACCGAATTGGCAGTGCTTGGCATCAAGGGTTGCACACAAAAATTTTGCACCAAAATCACTGGCGGCTTAGGAGGGGGAGGAGGAGGGGGTTGAAGTAGACATCGTTGACTGCTCGGAGGAACTTTTGTCTTTTCTTCTTTCCTCACTTTCAGATCAGCAAGTTTGCAGAAGAGCGGTGCAATGCAATTGTTTGGCCTGATACAAGTTGAATTCACATGACTTATGGCATAGTTGGCGCATTCTTTAGTTGTAAACCGCACAAATCCAATTCCTAAGCAAATTAATGAGAATTAGAATTCAGTTGAAAAAAACCCATTCATACCGGTGTTCAAAGCCTGATCGTCTTTAAAGAGCTTGACGGACACAATTTCACCATAGGGTTCAAATATGAAGCGTAGCTTGGCCTCATCAAAATTTTCCCTAGGTATATTTGTTACATAAACATTTGTGGAGTCCTTTTTGTTTTCCTTTGCATATTTTACCGCTAAGCCCACCTTCTGAAAGCATTTGCAGGCTCTAGACGTCTCTTCAGCCGTTCTAAAATTAATAATTGCACAACCTAAAGCAAAAAAACAATAGTTAAGAGGGAATTAAAAGGCGGGGGGGGGGGGTAAACGTTTTGTTATATCACTTCACCCTACCTGTGCATTGTCCATATTTGTTCTTGAGTAATTTAACTGAAACAGGCTCTAAATCCGTTGGCAGCAGATTTTTTAACGTTTTCTCATCATCCTCCAATTTCAGACCAGAGAAATATAAACCGGTTCTAGAATCACCCATCTCGGAAGAACACGAACTGTAGTGTGAGAGGCAATTCTTGACCCTTTTATATCCTTGGACAGTTAGTCTAAACAAAGCAACTGAGGAACTGAAAAATTTAGTTAAAGCAACAATAATTTGGGAAAATTACTTTCAATTATCAATTAATTTTAATTTTCAGTAAGAAGTAAAACTGCACATTTGACCATAAATGCTGCATCTGTGGACGCGTTATTAAAGCGAAAGATTAAATCGAGAGACACAGTTTTATCCTAAATACTGAACGATAATCCCAAGGTTAATAAATAATAATTCTACTCAGCACTAGGACATTTGAGAAGTTTAAAAATAGTTATTTTAAAGAGCTGCTTATTAAAATTAAACTCGTTGAAAAGGACAAATCTCAGAATAAAGTATTAATCGAAAAGCGGCCTCAAAATATTGAATTCACCCTCCAACTAGTTAAGGAAAAATTAAGTCTTTAAGGTCTTGAATAAGAATTTTTATTTGCAATCCATAAGTAAGGGAAGTTATATGGGAAAATTGGCAAATGTAAATGCTATCTCTGAGATGAAAACATTATTGAGAATTATCTAAGTTGAGAAATTCTTGGGGAGGGTGGGAGAGGAGAGGGAGTGAGGAGATGGGTTTAGAGAGATAGTGTTTGTTCTAAATATGGTAAAATTACACTTAAGTAAACCCTTATATTGAGTCAGTTAGAGATAGTCATGTATTCACGAGTTGCTTGAGAATTCATCTCAGCATGTTTCATGTTTTTATGATTCAACACCAAATGTGAGGGTCAAAATATTTATTTATTTATTTCAAATGGCAGGCTTTAGGATAGTTATCATTAGCCCTTTAGTTGACTTCGGGCTTCACAGAAGGGAGGAATATTAAAGTGAGAAAAATTCGACAGGGGGAAAGAAGAGCGATTCACAGATGTAACAGACAGACACAAAGGCAGAGAAAAGGCTAGATGAGTACTGTGGAAGGGGTCGAATNTTTTGCCGTATGAGTATACGTTGCCCAGGGTGCACCACGTGGAGGTAAGTCTATCGCACACCCCTCCTTTCAAATATTATCCTTTTTCATTCATTTTCGCTACTCTCTATTTCGGAATCATGCCACCAACGCACCAAAAAGGTAGTTCAACACCATTACTATGGTCTCATAACCCCCTAGTCAATTTGGAGTATTTCTTTTTCTAAATACTTATCCTAAGCAATGAGACAGTATTCTAGAGTCCCCTTGACGGAAAAAATTAAAACTACCACCCAATTTATTTACCAAATTTGACCTTTGTAGTTGAGCACTCGTCTCACAAGGTACGCATCAATAGATACGCATCTCGAGATATCCGACTTCACTGACGCACATTATTTCAAAATAGATAAACATAGACACCGTTTCAAATCCTAATTGCCTCCCAATTTTAGAACGTCTTGTCTGCACAGATGTCTCGGCCACGCGTTTAGAGCGTCTTCGAATTGTGCTAAATGGATTCGCTTGTGGTATAGGACGCGACCGTCCTGGTTTGCCCGACGTTGAGGTTTACTCTACTCCGTCTCTATTACGAAACAGTAAAACTCGAAGTGGCCAACTTTTCTCCAGAGTCCTGGTCGATGTGCCCTGTTCGACAGACCGCGATGCACTTACTTCGGTATCTGGTGGGTACTTCGCACGTGGAAAGAGCTCCGAGCGAATTAATCTACCGGAAACCCAGAAGAGACTGCTTCGGTAAGATCGCAATTTGATGATTTTAATAAGAAATTATGGTCAAGTATTTTGGAGAATTCGAAGTGATGGAAGATGAGGAATTTGCATAATAATAATAATCGATGAAAATGGTGACTTCGTCTATAGTGTAACGTATGTATTTGAATAGGCTTCCCAATGCAAACAAAAATTCGAATTTCTGCTCTTTGCAGTCTAATCCTATTAAAACCTTTGCTTAGATTACTCTCTATTAAAAATATCTCTCAGGCTTGATGGTTATATGCGCGCCCTTCACCACACTAGTTAAATTTGGTAAAGAGAGATGAATGCCTGGACGCGCTACCATAGGCAACTTTGGTGCAGGGGAATGACCTCGCCTACTTTCAAGTTCACGGCATAAATGCTAGTCCACACACACCTAGCAAACTGTCTGCTGGTTCATGTCTTTACTTGGGGCTAAATGGCGAAATACTGATTTCCCAGAGGGACTCCAGAATGTTCTCGTTCTCAAAAGTGGTGCCAAAGGTTTATTTTTCATCAGAATATGGAATTTAATTGCATTAGTCTATTAAGTGGGACTTTTATCATTATTAGGTATTTTCCCCATTGTTTGAAGTTACGCAAAGCGTCATCTTCATAACTGGACGAGGGATTTCCTGTGTGTGTGTGTGTGTGTGTGTGTGAACTATGTTTTGTCTTTATGATTGGAGTATTAAAAATTTCATCTATTATCGTGTATACTTCTTTACTTAATGTGTATCTTTTATGGAACACTTCAATGACGTAATGAAATTAATACTTCAACCTGGGAGAATAAAAGGAGTAGAAGTAGGGACAGTGTATCTTTAAGTACTTGATTTAATCCAAGATATATATATATATATATATATATATATATAATGTAATGCTATCAAGATTTTAAATGGCTTGCACTTTTCAAGATCAGCCCACTAGCGAAACGATGTTAGTTTTTCCCCACACAGTTTATTTATTTATTCAGTCTAGACTAATTACCAAAACTCCTGAATAATCAAAGTCAGAGGCCTATTGATGAATGGGCAGTATTATTTCCGCGACAATTCATGCGCTTCGTGGTGTCTTTTAATAAAAGTATTTAATCACAAGAAGAGAGGGAGCTGTAAAATTGTGTCCCGTTCATTTCCAACAAAAAATGGTTTGGATTGTTCAACGTCCGAAACTCATTTATATATCTGTCTAATGTTATTTTTTTTGAAAACTAACCTCTGTACTCTGGAGTCAACTTAACAAAATTGTTTATTATAGCTAAAGCCCTCTCCACAAGACGTAGTTACCGTCAACTTATAAATCTATTTTATACTCTCTTTAATAATTCAATCAGAGAGGCAATCATACAGACCCCGTCTCTCTTACCACAACCTGTTATTTGTTTATCCTACGCGCTTCAGCGTTTCAACTGCCAAAAATCTCCCGAGTATTCAGATAAAACTAGTAAGAATTTAAAAGACCCGCTGTGTGGTTCGGTTAGCTACTCGTTTTTTTTCCCACCCAGTGTTTTGAAATTGAATTCTCTGTAGTTGTCCTTAAAGATTGGACATTTATTTCGGTGGGAATGTGAAGAAAGTGAAAAGTAAGTGCTCGAGATGCTTAAATTGCCAAGATACACTATGAGGCTTGAAAAGTTATTTATTTATTTATATCAAATGACAGGCATCTTGATAGTTATCATTAGCCCTCTAGTTGACTTCAGACTTCACGGGGGGGAGAGGAACATCAAAGTGAAAAAGGTCGAGATGGGGGGAGGACAGAAGAGTGTTTCAAAGATGTTTAAGAGACAGACACAAAGTTGGAAAAAAAGGTGAGGTGAGTACGATTGATGTAGTCGAGTTTGGAGTCTGAAGTCAACTGCCGGTTAATAGACTTTTTTGCCGTATGAGTATACGTTGCCCAGGGTGCACCACGTGGAGGTAAGTCTATCGCACACCCCAGCTTAGAAAGTTATTATTTGTACACAAAGGGGTGACACATCGAAGTGGCGATCTTTATATGACCAACGTAAGTGGTTTTTATTCATCTCAATTATTTATTTATATCAAATGGCAGGCGTTTTGATGGTTATCATTAGCCCTTTAGTTGACTTCGCGCTTCACAGAGGGGAAGGAACATCAAAGTGAAAGAAAGTCGAGAGGGGGGGGGGAGGAAACAGAAGAGTGTTTCAAAGACGAAGGTAGAAAGGTAGAAAAAAGGTGAGGTGAGTACTGTAAAAGTAGTCGAGTATGACATACAGTGGGATCATGGCAGTTCGAATTCAGAAGTCAACTGCCGGTTAATAGACTTTTTTTGGCNTATTCACGAGTTGCTTGAGAATTCATCTCAGCATGTTTCATGTTTTTATGATTCAACACCAAATGTGAGGGTCAAAATATTTATTTATTTATTTCAAATGGCAGGCTTTAGGATAGTTATCATTAGCCCTTTAGTTGACTTCGGGCTTCACAGAAGGGAGGAATATTAAAGTGAGAAAAATTCGACAGGGGGAAAGAAGAGCGATTCACAGATGTAACAGACAGACACAAAGGCAGAGAAAAGGCTAGATGAGTACTGTGGAAGGGGTCGAATATGACATGCAGTGGGGTTATGGAAGTTTGAAGTCAGAGGTCAACTGCCAGTTAATAGACTTTTTGCCGTATGAGTATACGTTGCCCAGGGTGAACCACGTGGAGGTAAATCTATCGCACACCCCGAGGGTCAAAATAACAATATGGAAAAATAAGCTTTAACCTACCGAATTTAGTCCGGGTTTTTTTTTACAAAAATATAAATCTCAAAAAACAGAGAAGAATTAAGTGGATGAGTAAACTTAGTAGGACAGAAAAAAAGATGGAAAATGTTATGGGTAATTGAGATTAAAACTTTAGAAAAAAATTATGAAGCCCCTTCAATCAACCAACTTATTCCTTATGATTAATAGGAAAAAGTAAGTTGAAGTAACACGGTGGATCATTAATTGTGATCACCTGTGCACGAAGAAACCATGAAATTCGAATTTTTAGGGAAAGAATTTCATTTGTCTGCTCTAATATTTATTTATTTCAAATGGAAGGCGTTTTGATAGTTATCACTAGCCCTTTAGCTGACTTCGGGCTTCACAGAGAGGAGGAGGACCATCAAAATGACAAAATAAATTGCCTTTAAGAGATAATTGAATACTTACTCTCCGTAATTTGAGGAAGCTATTAAATTCAGTTCTCCTATAAACTTTGGGAGCAGTAAAAAGCATAACTCTTGACATATAATAATGAACAAATAAAGATTAATAAATCCTAAAAAAAATTAAAGTTGTTAATAAAAGTACTGTCTTACCATTCAGCAAGTGCAAATGAAAGACTATCNTCTTTTTTGCCGTATGAGTATACGTTGCCCAGGGTGCACCACGTGGAGGTAAGTCTATCGCACACCCCAGCTTAGAAAGTTATTATTTGTACACAAAGGGGTGACACATCGAAGTGGCGATCTTTATATGACCAACGTAAGTGGTTTTTATTCATCTCAATTATTTATTTATATCAAATGGCAGGCGTTTTGATGGTTATCATTAGCCCTTTAGTTGACTTCGCGCTTCACAGAGGGGAAGGAACATCAAAGTGAAAGAAAGTCGAGAGGGGGGGGGGAGGAAACAGAAGAGTGTTTCAAAGACGAAGGTAGAAAGGTAGAAAAAAGGTGAGGTGAGTACTGTAAAAGTAGTCGAGTATGACATACAGTGGGATCATGGCAGTTCGAATTCAGAAGTCAACTGCCGGTTAATAGACTTTTTTTGGCGTATGAGTATACGTTACCCAGGGTGCGCCACGTGGAGGTAAGTCCATCGTACACCCCCTCATCTCAATTATAAATTGACGCTTGCTGACCTCCCAAGCAACCTTGAGGCCACATCAGGATATTAGGTGGTCCAAGTTTTGAAGCTAGAATATAGTTACTCATCTTTGATGTTAGCCACCTTCCCTAACTGTGCCATTTTGGTAATCGATTTGTGTGAACCGTTTAAAAGATTTGATCTTCGAAGTATTTATGTTAAAATCTTGACGATTGATTCCATAATGACCATTTTGGCGATTTAAGAAATTGTTTCTAAATATTTACGTGTAAGTAGCATTTAAAATAGAATCTCGTGTAAGTTATGCTCTTCTTGTATTCCATTAAATTGAAATAATTACACACACACACACTCTCTCTGATGTAAATATAGTATGAGATACTTTTCGATCATTCTGCGGTTAATCCATGTGTTATAATGAATCGATTTCTGGAATTTGAGCCAATATGATCGCGTAATCGGTCTTTATTATGAAAGCTTGCATCGAAATTTTTCAATACCACTTGCAGTCACCTCAAGCACATTTGAAGGATATGTTATACGAAATAGCATAATCCTATCCTTTCTACCAATTTGTCTGTAATTCCTTTTCTAATTTTAGAATGAATCAAATTTTTTGCTGCGAATAATGGCTATGCATTTCATGCCTCTACATGTTGGATTTTATTTGCTTACATTTTAATCCAAACGTGGTTATGACTTAGGCTGATTAACTATTATTATTATTTTTATTGGCTTTAATTTAGGATATTTTTTATGGTGTTAGTCAACTTTCGATGGAGTTGGATAATTCTAGATTGTGGTAACAGTTATATAGCGAGAAAGCCCATTACTGTCAAATTGTTGACTTGGTTGCTTAATCAACAACGCGTGCCTGCTGGTTATACAGTTGATTAAAATGTCACCATTATTGATTCTCATTTTCATTTCTCCTTCCCCCAGGAAAAACACGCTTTCCGCTAAGGATTTCCATAATTTTACTCGATATTTTAAGTTTGAAGTTATGGAGAATATTTCCAATTAGTTGTGATCTTTGTGATTTGCTTTTGGAAACGACCATAGCTTGAGATATATCAACAGTGGGCAGGAGAAATTTTCTTTATGATATCTGTCTCTCGTCACTAAGACGTGTCTCCTAGTCTCTTAGACTTGGAAGGTGAATAATAGCGTTA